ACTCACTGATTTTACTGTCTAAAGAAAAAAAAAAACTTTCTCTTTTCTTTTGTCTACTTATAAGATGGTTTCAGGTAGAAAACTATTGATGCCTGAACTCCTATTGTGTAATTATCGGACTCCTCCAGGTAACTTTTTGACATTTAAATGGCAATGTTTTAAGTAAGATATTTGCCTCATACAATTCTATATGTAAAATTATCAAACTGTTTTCGGCCCTAACGGGCCTCAAACAGTCTGATAATTTTACATATAGAACAGTATTCGGCATATATCCATTACTTATCACCTACATAATGGGTTTATGTCTCCCAGTTGTTTCCATACGCAAGAGCATGCTCTACGTTCGATCATTTCTTAAATGAGACAAGCTAATAACTAACAAGTTGACAAAACAAGGATAGCAACAGTGTCGTTTAAAGTCATATCATTTCGAAATTTCTATGGTTGATAATATGACACTGTCAGCAAATACAATCTATCGCTGGGTCAAATGCTGACTGACTTTTTTCATACTAATTGTTAGATCATAATCTACACACCGAAATTTCTACGGATATTTCTATTTGTCCTATTAGACAAGGAGCACACGGCGGGTGTGTCTGGTCGACAGGGGATGCTTACTCCTCTGTGGCACAGGATACCGCCTCTGATGTCTCTGGAGGTCCCTCTTTGCTCTGCTCCCGATTTGTATTGCTTAAATGGACTTTGAGCTTGAATATTGCTCGTTATTTCCATATTTTATTATCCTCAATTGAGAGAAATAAATCAAAATTAATTGAGCATATCAATCGCAATATTTTTAAATGTCTTCATTTACAGAAAAAAAATATTAACTAGGATATTTAGAACAAATGACAGTTCCATGGTCGTTATAATAAACTTGTAATAAAGCAAATATAATCTTGCACTGGGATGATTTTGACGAATATATCTCATACTAATTGCTTTGCTTTCAACATCAAAATATATCATTGTGTTACATATATCAAGATACCAGAAATAGTCGGTAAAGCCTGTGTTACAGAAAAGTATTCAATTACTTCCGAGGCAAATATAACATGTGCACCTGATCAACAGAAAGACTTAATACATGTTTGGTCATTGATTACGAAAATCCTGGAAGACAAAATCATTTATAAAAGCTTGCCTTTCGACAAGGTGTACATTTTCGTAAGAATTTTTACTTTATTACTGCAGTAAGTAATAAATGTAATTAGAGGAGTATAATTGAGAGTACACATAGACACAAGAGAGAAAAACCTTATTTTGGTCGGCTTTATATTTATTTTTATGCCCCCGTATCGAAGATTCGGGGGTAAATAGTTTTTGCCCTGTCCATCCGTCTGTCTGTCTGTCTGTTTGTCTGTTTGTTTGTTTGTCCGCAAAAACTTTAACATTGCTCATAACATTTGATTGGTTGGACCTATGGCTTTCATATTTCATATGTGTATTCCTTGTGACAAGACATTTCTTTGGGTACCATCATGTTTGACCTTTTGACCTTGACCTTGGAGTTTGACCCCGTTTTACAAAAAATTTCCCAACATTAACCTTGGCCATAACTTTTGAACGTTTGGTGCTAGAGCTTTCATACTTCACATGTGTAGTTCTTGTGACAAGTCCTTCCTTTGGCTACCAACAACTTTGACCTTTTGACCTTGACCTTGGAGTTTGACCTATTTTTGAAAAACTTTAACATTGGCTATAACTTTTGAATGGTTAATGCTAGGGCTTTCATCCTTCAAATATGTAATTCTTGTGACAAGACCTTCCTTAGGATACCAACAACTTTGACCTTTTGACCTTGGAGTTTGACTTATTTTTGAAAAACTTTAACATTGGCTATAACTTTTGAATGGTTAATGCTAGGGCTTTCATCCTTCAAATATGTAATTCTTGTGACAAGACCTTCCTTAGGATACCAACAACTTTGACCTTTTGACCTTGGAGTTTGACTTATTTTTGAAAAACTTTAACATTGGCCATAACTTTTGAACGGTTGATGCTAGGGCTTTCCAACTTCACATATATAATCCTTGTGACAAGACCTTTCTTTGGATACCAACAACGTTTCCCCTTTGACCTTAATCTTGGAATTTGACATATTTTTGAAAAACTTTAACATTGGCTATAACTTCTGAACGGTTGATGCTGGGATTTCAATCTTCACAGGTTTCATCCCTGTGACAAGATCTTCCTTTGGATACCAACAACTTTGTCCCTTGACCCCGAGCTACGAGCTTGATCTTCTTTTGAAAATTTTGACATTGGTCATATCTATTTAACGGTTGGTGCTAGGGCTTTCATTCTTCACATATGTAATCCATGTGACAAGACTTTTCTTTGGATACCAACAACTTTGACCCTTTGACCATGACCTTGGAGTTTGACCTACTTTTTGAAATCTTTAATCCTGGCCATAAATTTTGAACTGTTAGTGCTAGGGCTTTCATTCCTCTCATGTGTAATTCTTGTGACAAGTCCTTTCTTTAGATACTAACAATTATAGCCCATTGACCTTAACCTTGATGTTTGACTCACTTTTGGAAAACTTTAATCTTTTTCATATCTTTTCAATGGTTGTTGCAAGGGCTTTCATTTTTCATAGACATATTTCTCAATACAAGACCTTTCTTTTGGTACCAATATATTTGATTTGCATTTGAGAAAGTTTAACCTTCGCTATAAGTTGCCATACGGGGGCATCGGTCTTTCACAAACACATCTTGTTTTTATATTTAACATATGTGATTTTTTTTTGGGGGGGGGGGAGAGGGGGTTATGTATTGTATTCAATCATAAAGTTGACAATCATGATTTATCTAATTTTGGTTGTTGAAAAAATGTAACATCAAATTCCGATTATGGGTAAAAACACAATTTTGTTGCTGTGAACTAATTTAGACCTTACTTACACTATACAAAATTGCTAACGCATCATCACATAAAATTGGTTTTTTACTTTTCAAAATAAGACTTGTTTGTGATATATTTAATTTAAAAAAAAATATTACCAATGTAAAAAATGAGGCATTTAAATGTCTAAACTGATAAATAACTTTATTTAATTTACATTTCTAAATATTTTTGCAAATAAGAAAAAGTTCATGTTGAACTACCGTGGGATGAGTTAGAATATTTCCATTGTGATGTGACTGAAGTAAAAAAAAATAGTGCAAATTATTTTTTTCAAAAAATGATCGTTGAATGACAAAAACATGTGGCAAGTCATTAGAAAAATAATGTAAATATAAGATATGAATTTAATTTTTGAGAATTCATGAGGTACATGTATTACAACGCTTCACGCCTGCATATTTATCATGAAGTGCTAACGCGCTTCATGAAACATGCCAACGCGAAGCGTCGTAGTTCACACCCTCATGAATTCTCAAAAATTAAATTCATCTCTTAAGTTACCTAAAGTATAACATTTCATTACAAAAATGAAAATCGTGCTTACCTTTTTTGGGGGAATCAATTTCTATTTGTTCTTCGTGTTTGTGTTCAGTATTTTTGTAATTAAATTCGTTATAACGAATTAAATTCGTTCAAACGGATTCTAAAATTTGTTATAATAAATTAAATTCGTTATAACAAATTTTGAATTCGTTATAACAAATTAAATTTGTTATAACAAATTTGTTGAATTCGTCATAACAAATTCACAAATACTTTTTTATATGCCCCAATTGTCGAATTTGATTAAACGGCTTTGATTCGTTATAACAAATTTTAGAATTTGTTTTTACGAATTTAATTCGTTACTTTAAATTTTAGAATTCGTTTAAAAGAATTTAATCTGTTATAATAAATTTCTGAATCCGTTATAACGAATAATCAAGTGCATTGGGGAGTAAGCATCCCCTGTCAAAATATACATGTACATGTATGAAAATTTAATAACCATAGAGCATGATGAGGCTATTTTAGTATAATATCAATTTAGATGTTATAAGACTTATTATATCTAATTAACAAAATATGAAATAATACATTTATTATGCTCATACATATGAGAAAAAATGGCAATGGGTTTCTCGTATACAAATCCATCACTTAAATTTCCAACAAGACACAGCTTAACATTCATTGATGTCATATCATATACAACATCATATATAACTGATGCTGATACTACATTATATAATTTGAGAGAGAGAGAGAGAGAGAGAGATATTTAAAGTTGGACATCACACATGGCATCTAAGATGTTCGTAAACAAAATATAGATCCTAGCACATGTAAGTCTCATAAAGTATCAGCAGAGAAAAAATGTTTCTGTGATACTTTATGAGGAAAAAAAAATTCATTTATCTTAAATTTATTACTTTCCCTATGATACAACATTTTTTTCAGAAAATAAATTATGCCCTCTTGTAATAAGTTTTGCTAAAATTAGACTTGAAAGATAATGAGAGGATTGTTATTATTAACATATATTTATTACAACAAAGTAAAACAGTTTGCTGGAATTTAAAATATGTAAAATGGAATAGAAAATTAAAGATAATCATAGCAAATACAGAATAGCAGGTGTCTTTTGCGAGTGCAAAACAAAATTTGGCATTTTGCTTCCTCAAAGGTATGCCAATAGTTTTGGCGGACACACAGTTCAATGAGGTTGAAAAAAAGAAAGAAAGTTCATCTTTTAGATGAGTTTTCAGTGCGTTTAATCTACGTTTGACCCCGATTAACACAAGAGTCTGAGTAAAACTAGTACGAGATGAAAGATACATTGTTTAACAACATATAGATCAAAGTTAACTTCTTTTTGTTTAGTACTTATACACTGGGTGCAAATTTAGCGATTAAAATTTTAGCGGACTGCTTTAAAACCGCTAAAATAAGCCAAAATTAGCACCCCGCTTAAAATTCCCGCTATACAGTATTGGATTCTTAAGTTTATATATAAGTATATAGAAATAGCACTGTATAAATTATTCTAATATAAAATTCATCAAGAAAAGAAAGAAAATATATTATATATAAAGAAATTCTAAAACGAAAATCATTATATTTAATTCATAACTCATTATAAAATATACATAATTTTAAGCGAAAAAAAATATATAAATGTTTACACATCAAGGAGCAAAAATGAGGATGTGGTTGTACGTTCAAATTATGTATTGAATTTCTCTTAACAGAATTATATTGCGATCCGTTTTATGAAAAAAAACATTTTAAAACTTTATGATAAAACCAGCATGGTCTGGTTTAATTCAATAGATTCAACTTTACTTTCTTTCACTTTTAGGGCATGTCATTATTATTCCAAATGCACATACTTTGACATTACGACTCTGATACGAATTGTTTCCGTATATTACCACATTTATAAAATTCTAAGTACTGTTTTTTTTAAGTAATATTACTAAATTGTAAACATTTTTGATACTATAAAAGTGAGCAACATATACTTTAGGAGAGAAATATAAAAAAAAAACTGTATCATTCCCCTGTTTCTTATATATATCTGTAATGTATCCCTGAGTTGAAATGAAATGCAAGCAAACCTGAGTTAAGATTTAAATGCCTATGAAAATTATACACTATCTGTGTCAAGTAACAGGTTGAGGCTGTGTAAGCAGTTGATACAGATTTTTTTTGGTCTACAAAGAGGTTATTTGACAGATTTGTTCATTTTTGATTGTTTGCCATTGTTCTTATGTCTATTTACTGCACATTGAAATACACAATTCCATTCAAAGACTAAGAGAATTACAATGACAAAAGCACAAAAGGTTATTTTGACGATGGCAGACATCAAGTAAACATTTTTTACTCAACGCCCATCGATTGTAGTGTAGGAAGACCTCTTTGCTATTTCAATGATCATACAAATCCCAGCAATGGCCGAGAGAACGATGGAAACTGCACAAAAAGCAAATGCAAAGCTGAAGTTGACAAAACTGCTGTCCTTTACCAGATCATAATGTTTTTCTGCAAAAACTGCTATTGACACAACGGTACACACAGCTGCAAAAAATGAATAAATATCTAAATAAAATAATAATACATTTTTTAAAAAGTTGAACATAGCACATTTGTCTACTTTTTTTAAGACTTCAATTATTCAAAACATGTGTTATAACTTTATTTAGGCAAGTATTTGAGCAAATGAGAAATGTTTGGGTTACCCTATTTCAAAGCGATGTTATGTGCGTAGTACATACCGCTTATAAAAGACATAATAATGGCAATGATCAATACGGAGACTCTGTCCTTCAAACAGGTTTTCAGCAGGGCAGAAATAAGACCAATGGCCGAGATGAGAATCCCAAGCAGGCCAAACCCTCTTACTGCTTTGAACCAATCTACAGCAAGAAAGTATGTAGAAATGACTTCTCAATCAAATTATCAAATTTAAGAAGTTGACATAGCTTTTGTAGAAGTGAAATGATAAATGATCTTTTGTTTTGAAAATGTGCCCAAAATTTTTTTGTGGCCATGCATACAGGAATATTTTTCTTAAACAAGAATATATATATTTTTAAATTCAATTACTCATCATATTTTACACATGTACCTGGAACATCCTCAAATTCAGAACATCCGGATATATTGTAGCCCGATATATCACCAGATACACAAATTTTCCATAGACCTAAGTACACTTTTCCACTGCCCTTTTCACCATAAATCCAATATGGTGCAGCCACACCCACGATATCGAGTATAAGGGAGAGAAGCATGAATAAGAAGCCAAACACAAAGAACTTCGAATTCCCTCCACACGCCATTACGTGAGTTTTCAACTTTGGTCTTTAAGAAAGTAAAAAGGAAAAAGTAGAATCAATTTTTGATTTGAAATATAAATCAATGTTTTCATATCATAAAAAAATATTTTCTAAAGAACATGTTCCTTACACCTATAACTTAAAATCGGACAATAGCATCCCGCTTATGATCTTTATTATACCACGTCTGAAAATGAGGTCAAATTTAACATTCTCACTGGATTAACTGGAAGCAGAACCAATATCAAGGTCATCTAAAAAGAGCTCAACTACCAACAGTCAGCCAAGTCTCATGTGATTTACTCTCGTGACAAGGTCAAAATTTACATTCTTTATAAAACTTTAGCATCAAAATGTTTTTAAAATCCACTGTTTTTTTTCCACACGTATTACTGACATCTTTTTTTTAAATACAGAGCAAATAATAATGGAGTAGCTGAAACACGGCGGGATTGTGACAGTAATCAATATTGGTCTTTTATTTAAAGAACATAATATTTTATGTTGATAATAAGTACACATGTTAATAGTAACTTTTATTATTCAACCGAAAATAAAAATTACAAGCTGTTCTAAATGCATTGATAAACCCAAGATAGAATGCTTATGAATAAAACATCGATGATCAAGACATTAAATACGAGTTGGTTTCTCACTAAGCCAATAAAATTCCTGAAGGTCGTTTTCATTATTTTCAAAGAAGCAATTCGTTATCGGATCATTTTTCACATCAAACTGAAAGTCTGTTATGCATTATTGGTTTCATACTCGGCAAAGAAAAAACAAAGAAAAACATAAACTTACCAGGAGAAAATGTCGTCGGTGCAATGTTTTTGCGCAGTTAGTTTAATTTATCCTCGTGATCGTGACGTCGACGCACATTCACAAACACGACTTACCGGAGGGGGTTCAAAATAATTGATATTTTTACGAATCGGCGTTTAATAAGGTCATGCATTAAACCACTAAAATATGAAGCAAGAACTCATTGAACTTAATAATTGATAGGAACATTGGATTGAATTTAGATGTAACTACACACAGCGATGCGATAACATGTTTTTTTAAATAAAGGAATCATACAAAAATAGAATACTGAAAGTGTTGAACGTGAATTTTTTTCATTTAACAATTTGTTTATGGTAAACAATAACATAAACAAAAGTTAAAAAAAGAAAGAAAATAAGACAAGAAATACCTCTTTGTTCCTTTTATCTATTGTTAGCTAAGTTTTCCTCGGGATCTTTGAGCATGAATGATTTTTAAAATATGTCACACATTATTATATACTCATAAACATAGGTCAATTACTTGCGCAGTATCAGTATCATAGGAATTCACGTGTTGAGGAGGTTGTTAATTTTGCTTTACATCATTGCTGATAAAGTACCAACGACCTATAAGGCAGTTACTATAGCCCAATTTAAAATTTATCTAAACCTCAAAAAAAAAAAAAAAAAAAAAAAAAAAAAAAGAATATTATTAATAGGTGTCCTCACAAACCAATTTTTAAAAAGTATTGATACTTCACTGTTGAAAAGAAAATCAGCTATTTGATTGCGTGTTTTTCATGTAAAGTAACATGTAAAAGTGTTTTATCTAGGTAAAAAGTAGTCAATATATTTAGAGTTATTGCAAAATGTATTAAAGAAATCATTAAACCATGCATTAAATTTTATTCAGTTATTTAAGCAAAATTATTCTGAAACAATATATTTAAGTTAAAGCTTAACAGAAAGAGGTCAGATACTTATCGAGTTCCACTAATGGCATTATTAGAGAGGTCAGGTGAACTGTTACGGCCATGGCTTTGTAAGAATTTAGGTGCCTAACTAATTGTGTTTTGAACTTATGCTGTTTAAGATATCAGGACTTTTATCAATTATATATCTGATATAAGGACGGGAATGGTACAAACGTATGTGATTTAGTAACACTGGGATAAAATTTGAAATCGAAATTTGTTTCAGGTACTATTATTTCGATTTACAAAACTACGTTATCGTATTTAACTTTGAAACATTGTTAAATTATCTACGATAGGAAAAACTCTTAAAGAAAAAAATTCACGAGCTTCATTATATCTGTTTTTAAATACCTGTAAAGGTCAAAGTATGATAACTTAAGAAGTGTGTATAGTACAATCTGGGTCACCGACATTGTATATTGACGACATGCAGGCATACTACTTAAAAACGAACTTTGACTAAGGTCAGTAACCTTGTCGCTTTATACAACAAATGTACTTTTACGCATTAACTAGTATTCTATCTATGAACTTTGGAAGATATAGATTGTGCATTGAGCAGTCTGTGAGGCTTTGTTTACAGCGATATGGAGTTGGCCAAAAGTATAAACCTTTTTATAACAATTTAAAACAATTCTTACTTAAACTTGAAACCTGGATCATGTAATTTTACACTATCTTAAAGTACATGTATATGAATTCTAATTAGTAACGTGAAATTTTCGCATTTTTATGGTTTATAATAAATCTGCAATGCTTATCAGCAAGAGGCATTGGTAGTGTACTCTCCTCCTTGCTTCAAGTCCCTTACTTGCTTGAAGCAGGAAAAGTACATTATCGAAGCCTCCAGCTGAGAAGTCTTGCAGATGTAAACTGATCCATAAAAATGCCATCTTTTATCAACATTTCATAAGTTGAACGTATCTTTGAAAAAATTAAGGGACTTCAAAAATACTTTCAATATAAAAGAAATTTAAAGGTTTGCGAGCATTAAATATCTATGTAAACACAGAATAAACTGAAACAAAAAGACATTAGGCCAAAATAATCATTTGTCCTGCTCATCGTGAAAAAGAAAGTTTTATAGATATCAATTTGACTCCCTTTTATAACCTTGCCTTAGTCCCTATGGGAATAAATACTTACATATATGTCTATTCCAAATAGGACCGCGCACGGTAGCCTAGTGGAAGGGCGTTCGGTTCGCGATCGGGAGGCCCAGGTTCGATTTTCGTTTGACGCGCCGCGTCAAACCTAAACGTAAACATACATAGTGACTGTTCCTTTGCCAAGCGCCCTGCACTAGAATTGAAAGTCACGGGTCTTTCGGATGAGACCTTAAAAACCGAGGTCCTGTGTCACGGTAGGCGTTGGCACGATAAAGAACCCTCATTTCTCAATAGCCCTGAGTGCCGAGTATAGGTCTACATTTGAAGCCCTTTACCGGTATATGGCGACGTCTCTAAATGAGTGAAACATTTTCAAATGGGACGTTAAAGAACATACAATCAATCAATCAATATTCCAAATAGGGATGATTGCATTATCTTAGGATTACCTTTTTTTCTGTTGTTCTTGCGAATAAGATTTTTTCCAAATAAAAATGCTATGTAAAATTTTTTATCCAATATTATAGTTTTGTTCCCTGTAGAAAATGATTTGAAGAAGCTTTTCCATATGAGGGTGCTTGTTATGTAGAAAACTATCTACTGTTGTTTCTAAGATATTTTTTCCTACAAATTTGACATCATTTTGTATCCTGCAGGCATGATTTAAATGAAAAAGTAAAGATGTCGATTCTTAAAAAGCCAACAAACAATACAAATTTGTCAACAGGGCATAAAAACAATATAAATTTGGCACAAAACACAGAGCCTTGGATAATCCAGAGGTGAAGTCAAGTGCCCATGAGGAGTAAGCATCCCCTGTTGATCTGTCATACCCGTAGTGACCTCTATGTATTAATATTATGGACGGAATATTCAGTTGCTAAATTTGGTGTATAAAAACCAAGTTTTGGTATAAAATATGATCCAAATGATAGATTACTAGTATATGTACTAACAAGTCATTATAACGACTGTAGAATTAATGAAATGCTGACATTATAGAGGCTGGTGAAATTCATAAACAACAATTTATCATTAAGTAGTCTCTCTCGGTTTAAAAATCAATTACACTCAGAACCTACCCTTGCGTACAGTGTATAGATTAGGTTGGGAGGCATAAACATCATATATACGGGTAGATGATAGTAGAATATTTGTATATAAATAAGGAAAGTTGATGTTTGTTAATAAAACATCTGATCAGGTACTGTGCAGGAACAAACAACGTTTAATTAAAAACACCACACAAATAATGCATGTCCATAGAGACATTATCAATGAAATAAGAAGAAAACGAACATTAATCAAGCTCAAAAGTACACTGAAACAATACAAATCAGGAACAGAGCAAACACGGATATTCAGCTCATTAGGGGGGGGGGGGGTCAAATACCATGGTGGAGTAGACATCCCTTATCACATCAACCGTGTAGCTCATTGTCATGAATGGGAAAAGGAAAAAATCCGTGGGCAATTCCACGGTGTATATCCCAATACGGGGTGTATACTGTGTTGTGCACGGGGTGTATGCTACGTTTTTTGTCCATTTTCCTTATATGGATATATTTCACCAAAAAGCATACGCTTTCGGAACAAAGCATTATTTTAAGAGTATATGGATACCTATGAATCTACTTTACACTTTCTAGTTTTATCAAAAACCTCAACACAATTCCGAAGACCAGAGTAAGATTGACGCTACATTGGGTTTATGATCAAATTTCAGAACAAAGCTTCGCTATATCATTACTTTCATATTACTGTTAAACACGTTATCCCCTCATTTTCTTACAAATGCGAAATATCATTGAAAATTTTGTGCATGCAAGTGTATCAGCGACAGAAAGTGCTAAAAAGACCTTAATGGCGAATCAAGAGGTAATTTTCCAAAAACATACTGAAATAAAAATCAACAAGCCTACAAAAAATAAAAAGACTCATTTAAAAATTGCAAAAGGAACGATCATCGACAATCATTTGAGCTCCATCGTTTAAATCTGACAATTTCGCCCTGTTAATCATAATACAAACACTGTATGAATAGTGTATTATGAAAAATATTTTTTTCAATCAGATGTATAATCAATATTTTTTGCTGTTCATATTACCCTTCAGTTTCAGCAATAGATGGACTCATTATTTTAACTCATTTCAAAAGATCTCATATTTTGCCAAATCACTATAAACATGTAAAGTCGATTATAATAATGAATATTTTTAAGGGACGTCCATTTTCTGCGGTTGTGGGGTGAGGGTGGTGCATGTACAATGTAATTTAAGGGAAGACTCGCTTCTCTCACTGTTTTGGATACAATTGTTAAATTTCACCCTCCTTATAAATCTATATAGTAGAGTAAAAAAACAATTCTCAGGACTACCTCCCCCTAGAAAACATAGACTCTCGAAAACAGTCCAATAAAATTCTACAATACAATACAAATGATGTATTGCCGAAATATGGCATGGGCTCCTGGTGGCATAGTACACAGTATTTTCCGGTTAATATAAAGAATGAAAGCAACTTATCCTAATACCCCCCCCCCCCCAGCACCACAAAATTAAATAGACCAGGTGTTTCGGAGATTCAAACAAGTTGTTTGCCTTTTTGTAATTATCATTATTTATACTTTTTAAATTTAATTTTACTTGCCAAATATTTCTTTTTTCATTTGATCTACTCATATTCAATATATTAAAATTATCATATTACATTAAATTCATATTTATTGCAGTCAGCTTTGCATATGAATTATCTACAGCTTAAAGTTTTGTTATGTTATAATGTTATTTTGAAATATTATGTTTGATCTAATTATTAACTCAACCCTGTTAACAGACGTGAGGTCTGTTTACATTGTGCAATGTTTATATATGACATTACAAAAAGACCTAAAAAGCTTTTATTCAAAGTAATTTATAAACATAAATAAATATTTTAAGCAGAAATTTTGAATGACATAAATTCTAATTTTTAAACTGATGCATATTAAACATTCATTAGGAGAACATCGTGTTGAGTATCCTTTAAATTGAAAAATAGGTGATAATAGGTCATAATATTGGGTCTTTTGATATTTTTTAAGCTGGTTTGTTTTGTATTTGAGTTTCTTTTCGAAAATTAATTGTTCGTTTTGAAGTTAGGTCCTTTTCAACCCTTTCTACCGCACATTTGATACATTCATCATAATCTTTCACTGAACGATCAGTTTCTAGATCCATCTACAAAGCAAATTAGAATGATAAAAAAAGAGCGACGAACATGTATCAAATTCGTCCTTTAAATCGATTTAATTTTCCCTGAGTCGCGCTTCATTGCAAAACCTGCGGATAATATAAAACAATTATAGAACTACCACAGCAATAACTCGTATACGTTATATTTTAATGATATTCTGCACCAGGATATTAAGAAAAAAAAAATAGGGGGTTTACACCCCGGGTCCAACAGGGTGCATACACCCCGAGCACAACGTTATTTTTCGGCAATATCTTTAAGTACGAACTTTTTTTTTATACCCAGAGAATTTATACATACCTTTATATAAGTAGAGGCATTCAACAGAAATGTAAAAGTGATGTTAAAGAAAAGCTTTGTTCTGATATTTAATCATGAACACAATGTAGCGTCAATCTTGCTTTGATCTTCGGAATTGTATTGAGGTGTTTGATTAAACTATAAAGTCTGCAGTGGACTCATAGGTATCCATATACTCCTTGAATGATACTTTCTTCTGTAACCGTAACCATATGCTTTCCGGCGAAATATATTCATAACGAGAAATAAGACAAAACGTACCTCGACCCCTTTCTATCGCTTCGAAAGCGTACACCACGTGCACAACAGAGTATACACCCCACGTGTTGTGATAAACACACTGAATTCAGTGTGAAAATAATGGCTTAGCATTTTGTATAAAAAACGTCAGTCAGCATTTGACTTTAAAAATGATAGACTGCTTTTTCTCACAAGGTAAATGTATCGACCATACAAATTATTAAATGTTGACTTTAAACGAGACTGCTGATATCCTTGTTTCATTACTTATTTGTCAATAGCTTGCTTGCCACGTTTTAGAAATTGTTCGTATGCTCTTGCGTATCGAATTAACTGGGAGTCGGAAACTCCATTTGGAGGTGATAAGGGTATATTGCTAAATAAGAGAATCTGTCGATATTATCATGATGAGCTTCATCTATACATTGAATTTATGACAAAACAATTAAAAATATGACATGAAAGATCAAGGTATCTAAGATTCCACCAAGTCATTCTTTAGATAAACATATATCTCCTATTCCTGAAAATAAATGATGTCTTAATTTATTCTTCGTTACAATAAAACTCTGGTATGTAAAAATGAAAAAAAAAGATTATTTTATTTTTGTTTATTAGTACAAAATTAACTAGTTAAAAGATATTTGAACTTGCCTAGCAACATATATATGAAATGGTAAGAAAAGAAAAAGCCTAAGGTTGAAATTTATACATAATTTATACATAAAGTTGCAATGACAAAAAATATCGAGAAATTCTTATTCAAAACTAGCAAACTCTCATCATACAACGATTATGATTTTAATGAATGAAGAGAAACACTGAGGCTAAATATACCTTTAGGAGCAAAAACGAAGTCGTGGAGATAGTTGTACTTTCAAAATATATGTTTACTGCACAGAATCAGCCTGAACTCCGTTTTTCATTTCAATGATTATTTACAGGCTCTAATTATAACTCTTACCAAAAAAATCAAGTTTGATTAATTATTTTCTTCTTAATTCTTTATTTTCAGATAGATAAAATGGACTCTCCTGTGGCATACATGAATTCATCATAATTGTTTTCTCTATTTTTAAACATGTATGTCACATTTCAAATTTCATGTACCTAAATTTCACATTCAAGAGAATCATGACTCGAATATGAATTGGTTTATATCATATTGCTATGTTAACAAAATTCTTATTGACTAGTTTTTTTTCCTTAAACTTCAACATCTTGTATATGAAATAAATGAGCAAAACACCTTCAGTGTTTAAAGTTCATTATACGCTCGTGATTCTCTTCTCGATGTCTCATTTCCTTTTTTATTATTCTGAAAGATAATAATTTTGTTATCCTTCTCATTAAAAGATGTTCTATCTTATCATTCTGAGTTGTTCTGAGATTCTGAAAAATAATAATTGTGCTGTCCTTATCATTAAATAGAGGATATTCAATTTTTTGTAGATGAATATGAAAATTATTTCACGAGTGGGACAGGATTTTTTTATATTTTCACCAGTGCGAAGCACGTGTGAACATATCAAAAAATCTTGTCTCACGAGTGAAATAAATTCCTTTGTGAAGGGAAGGAAAATCGTAAGTTTTGATGCACTTCTGATATTCCAACACTGTGAGAATACCATTTTGATATCCTTTCACACTGTGTCAGAATATAACTTTTATTCAGTAAATAAATTACAGTATTTCACTGTTGAAAATGTAATAAAAAATCTTATTCATCGAACAGTTGCCTTCGTTTTTTTAATCAGTTTTCTACTGTGTAATTGATTTTTTTGGTTAAATGGTCACGATAAATTCATTCATTTCTGATTCCTTTCATTTAACAGAAATGTAAATATTCTTAAACAACTGTTATTGAAAGAAAATCATAATTACATTCAAAGTCCGAGTTATATGATTTTGGCAAGCAACCACATTATTATTTGTGACATTCTTGAATTGATAATTTTTTCTCAACGACCATCAATGGTCGAGTACGAGGTCCTTTTCGCTATTTGAATGATCATACAAATCCCAGCAAAAGCCGACAGAACGATGAAAAGTGCACAAAAAATAAATGAGAAGTTGAAGTTCAAATCATTTCGTATCATTTCTATTACCAAGTTAGGGTATTTTCTGGCAAAAACTGCTATGGACACAACAGAGCACAATGCTGCAACAGAATAGTTTTAAAAGTACTTTCTTTAAAATCTTCTTTTAAGTAAACCAGTGATATTACTTTATTTTTAAATATTAAAGCAAGTTTATGTATAACACAATTAATAATGAATTAATAAATAAATTTAACGTTACACTTTACAAACAAGGACTCTTTGATAGTTCATCTTGCAGTTAAATGATGTTATTTAATGCAGCCAGTTTAAATTGTTCAAAGATTCATATTCATAACTCATCGAAAAATCTTATTATATATTACATTTTGTCCCTTGAGAATGTGAAGAAAATCAGACTTGCTTGTCTTGTCTGCAAAATACATACCGCTTATAAAAGACAAGATAATCGCTATGATCAACAAGGATACTCTGTCCTTCAAACAAATCTTCAGTGAGGCAGAAGTGAGAGCAAGAGTTGAGACGAGTATCCCAAGGAAGCCAAATCCTCGTACAGCTTTCAGCCAATCTACAGGAAGAAAATTTCAGAGATAACATGATTCTTTCAAGTTCTTTCATTCAATAAAGATTTTTAAATGTATAGCGTATTTTTTACTGGCAATCTTGAAAATACGTCCCAACTTTTTTTTTTAATTCTTTGTTTGATTGTATACATATGAATATTTACCTTAAACATAAATATGTTCTTTAGAATTTGGCTAAGCAATAAATTATAGATCTGTACCTGGAACATCCTCATACTTATTGCATTTGGATTCTTCTGAGCCCGATATATCGAGACAGCTTTTCCAGAGACCTCCATATATTTTCACGCCATTTTTCTCTGCATAGAACCAATATGGCGTAGCCACACCTATTACGTCCAGTATAAGGGCGATGAACAGGAACAGAAATCCAAATACGAAGAACTTGGAATTGCCTCGAAAAGACATTTTTGTATTGTTTGGGGTTTTCTGTCAATTCGTAGGGAAAAAAACATATTTAAAAAAAAAGAAATTTAAAATATTTCTTTTTTTTGTATACTTTGTTCTAAAGAAGTATGAAAGAATACTCAGATATCTTCTACAAACCCACTTTGAAAAAAGAAACCTGCCAGCACGTCTTGGTGCAAACGCAAGGTCACACTGTGTTATAATGCAATTAAGTTCTTCTTATCATGACATACATGTACACTCACAAACTCAATTTTCCACGTAGAAGTCCTTTAAATACCAAAAAACAAGTTTTGCCCTTTGGATTTTGACTCAATTGAACAAAGTTGAAGTGATTATTACATGTACAAATATAACGTAAAAAGAATCTTGCAGAAAAGATGTATTTAATATCCAAAGGTCCTAATCCATCTCGATAGATGGTACGGAACATTTAAAAATTCCTGAGAGATGATCGTTTATTCTACATTTAGAAAAATTTGATGCTCAACGTACGAGGGGTGATCAAAAAGTTCGCGAACTATTTCTGTATTTACAAAACTACAATTCACATAAGAATGAAATTTGGCACATGTATAGTCATAAACATTTTCTATAAATAGCAGATGTTAAGTGATGTTTTGCTTCATTTTATGACGTCACGATGTGAAAATGACCTCAATATGTAGATGACTTGTGACAAAATATGGTTAACTCAGTCTTACTCGAGCAAGAAACGGCTTAAAGTTTACGGTATATCTTGGTAATTCCTCTGCAGTAGCATATAATAATTTCTACAAAATTAATGAAGACAAAGGACTTGCTAAAAATCATTAATTGGATCGATTGTTTTTTGTGAAGGAAGGGAGATGGTTAAAAATGATGTTTGCTCTGGTGCCCAGTAAAAGTAAGCTGGGAAAGAGAAGTGTCCTTAGTTGAACAATTTGTTAAGAAAGATAACTAAGATACAACTATAATCTCTACAGTAAAATTAATAAAATCTGAATACTTGCTATTCTCTGTAAATTCTGACTGAGACAAGTAAATCATTGAAAAATAGAATACAAAATATTAAAAACGAAATTAAAAGGATAGAAAATGGTTACTTTACACAAAATTATATGTTTCATAAAAAAAAAGAACAAGGAGTTAGACAAATTGTTTCAGATAAAAAGAACGAGGATAAATTGCATGAATATAAATATAAAGGTGCACAATTTCAATAGAGGGCTAAATGAAGTGATGAAGGTGAAAAGAATACCTCTTATTTCTTAGGCTTAAGAACAAGCATCAATCATACAATCAATATGTTATTATTCATTACGAAATGGCGACCAGACTTACAATGAAATTGACAGCATATAATATCAGTTATGTGTATTTAACAAAAACCATTATTCGAGTATAGATTTTCCAAGTAAAGACATTGATAATTATTTAAATAACAGTGACTTTGAAAACAAAAGGAAGCCAAAAAAAGAAAACGAGAGAGAGAGAGAATAACTGAGATAAATCTCATGGAATTGACAGTTCAGACACCACTGAAGCTAAAGTCTCAAAGAAATCTGATGCACAAAGTCTAGTACATAATATAAATAGTGCCATTTTCAAAATGAAAATTATCAACCTATAAGTCAGTCTGACACAAATTATAAAATTAAAGCCTTTGGGTTTGCGGAAAGATTAAAGTGTGTTATAAATAACATGAAAAATAAAAAAAAATTAAACGGGAAATATTAAAGGTCGATTCATTGGTACTATAATGCTGGATTGATTTTAGATATTTTAGAATGGAGTGAAAACAGCAACAAATGGAAGAGTTTTTACGTAAAGCAGATTTTCGTAAGGCTTTAGATTCAGTGAAAGGATTTTTTTTTAAATTTAAAACTCTTCAGTAATATAACTTGAGACACAAGATTATAACCAAAAAAAAAAAAAAAAAAAAAAAAAAAAAAACTGTCGCAGTATTCGCAGCGCTTAAATTCGCACATCTTTTTATGTATAGCAAGTTTGATACACAAATTTAATGACTGCAAATAAATAAATGAAGTAATGGATATTTAAACAATTAGAAATTTTCCAAGAAAAAAAATTATGAACATACCATAATGCAAAACACAAACTCAATGACTGTGCACATAAATAAATGATCTAATGGATATTTAAAACAATTAGAAATTTTCCAAAGAATAAAATTACGGAGATACCATAATGCAAAAACCCTGATCGGTAACCCGCTTCCTGCATAATCATAACTTAAAGAAATATACATAACTACGTATGGTATATTTTATCAGTATCTACAAGGATAATTGTTAAACCTTGTTATATTTAAATGTTACTAATATTATACTTACATTGAAGAGCAGAAGAAATACTGGTTTGTCACACAATCGAACTGTTTACCATATTTACAAATAATTTGTAACGATCCAAAAAAGATATGTTTTAGAATTTTAAAACAAGAAACTTGAGAACAATTAAACATTTTCAGGGGGATGCGTTTAATGTTTAAACTGTTCACTCTGACATTACAAAATAATTGATTAAAATACGATGTGTGATTTGCAGTGCTAACATGATTTTAGAGACCTTCCAAAGCAAAGACATCTATTAAATCGGTGTTAAAAATTCAGCGAGCATTGATACAGTACATTGGAGCTTGAACTGCTGTTGAAAACAAATGATTTGCTTTTGTTCAATCATACATAATGTCAGGCTATGATCTAAGAGATATTTGTATTCAGACAATGGACCCTATTTAGGAGTAAATTAACGTAGGTCGCGGGTTTGCTGACGTCGTTAAAACTGGGAACGCAATTTATATGATTTGGGCGACTTTCTTGTGCACATTTGATTATGACGTCACAATGAAAAAGGACTCTGCGATGATTTTTGTTTCATTAAATTCTTCAGTATATCATTATTTAGCTATAACTTCTCTTGGAATTGGTAGTTTAGTGTTATATTATTTAAGCAACAACTTATCACAAATAATGAAGGCTTTTTACGATTTGTATAGTCGATACAATACTTAGATAAAACTTTTGTTGGAATTGGTAATTTAGTGAAGAAGGTTTATTACGATTCAAATGATCGACACTTGAAATATTAAAAAAAAGTTTAATTATTTGTTATCAATCGCATCTTCTCGGGCCTTTCCTCCAAGCTTGGAAAAACAAGTGGTTGTTTTCCTGCTTGTCGGAAGGGCCCGGGATATTGCGATTGATTTGTTTTCACTTGGTATCGCGAAACGATATGGACACAAGGTTCAACTGACCTTTTTTCCTTTGATTATTTGAATTATCAGTTTGTTTTATTAAGAAAGAAGCCATTATTAAAAAAAAAAATCGCAAATACACCTGTTACATCCACAGATTAAACTTTATTTTTAAACAGGATATTTTTAAAAATATATAGATGTACAAGTTTAAATCAAATACTGCTAAGGTACGATGAAACAATAAGACAATTTTTTAGCGACACTGACCTCCGGTTAGGGGACAACAATTTGATTCTGAGGGAGGGGGGGGGGGGGGTTGGTGGAGGCAAATTTTACCGACTCAGATTGTTTATTTTCATCTCGGTGAAGGACAGATTATTTATTTCCAAAAAAAAAACAAAAAAAAAAAAAACAACAACCAAGGACAGATTATTTATTTCTTCTTCACTGAAAAAAGTCTGACAAGCATAAAAAAATGAAAGAAAAACATCAAAGTTGAAAACTCCCATTGGGGGGGGGGGGTATGCTAGAACTAGTCTTGGACAGATTATTTATTTTCTTGCCCAGTCGATGACAGATTATTTATTTCCAAATCTGTATGACCCCCCCCCCCCCCGAAATGATCGTCCCCTAAGCAACAGCTTGCAATGCTGTTACCTAAAGATTTTATTCGCTACTTTGCTTTTCATGTCTAACAAGTAGAATTAATGTTCTAAAAAAACTGGCTGTTGATTACGTCAGATAAAATTAATTTTTAAATCCTCGTTCCATTTACCCCTCTGAAAATGGGTATGTAAAAATAAATATTTTGTTTAGATATATACTGAAAATATGTTGCATTTAGCCGGGACGATATTTGGAAGAAATTCGTAGATTTGAGCGCTTTGCTGAATGGTCTAAATAAAAACATTTTATATAATTGAATTACTTGAATTAAAGGATACCGTTTTCCGCCAGCACGCTGGAAAAGAAAAAATACCTAGCCAAATGTAAGGATACGTCTAATCTACGAAAAAAAGCAAAACAAAACAAACAGAAAAGAAACGGTAAAAAAACAACACATAAAGAAAGTAAATTGGAAGAAAGAAACTAAAGTATTGATTGTTGTTTTACGTCCCTTGCGAGAATTTTCTCTAATATAAGACGTACTATAATATAAAACCTTAATCTGAAGAGAAACATGTCTAATAATCATTTCCTTGATATTGAATTATTATGATACGATTCATGGGTCATTTGAAAACAGATAGACGTAAATTTCTTTTTTATAAAAATTATTTTAGCTTATTTTTCTGCACTGAATACCGGATAGATATTCACGACGTCAAGCATGACGTCGCGATATTTTATGACGTCGTTCTTAAAAATGTTACATTTTGCGATATAAAAGCAATTATCCACATTTAAATTACGCGAAAACTAACCCGAAGACATATTAATTTTTTCACATTGATTTATTTCAAATCAATTCTTTGTTAAAATACCAAAGGGAAAACAATTTCGTCTGCACCATTTAAAAGTTATTGATATTTTTTGAAACAAAATCTTGCCTCAAAATGAGCCGAAAACGACGTTTTTCTTATATAATTCAATAGAATAACGTCGAAAATGGAACGACAACAATGGCATGTTTGGGATTTAATTACACAAAAACAATGCAGACGAATTTCCTAAAATTATCAGAGAATATAAAACGAAGGTAGAGGATTCATATAACTAAATTTCATGGTATGTTTTCCGACACTTTTAAATGGCCTGCAAACCCGCGACCTACGTTTAGTGCTCTGCATTGAAAATT